TATACAGTTTAAATATATACTTCTATAAATTAAATCCTTTTTTTCAAACGTAAGATGTTTGAAATAAAATTATGGACCAATTTTTTTTATATAAATACATGTAAACAGGATAAGAATAGATTAACCAATAAAGTAAGAATCATCTAGATTCAACTGTAAAGGGATAAGGTGTATGTAAAACGTTTAAAATTGAGTAAAGAGATTCATTATCTTCTTAAAAATATTTCTACATTGTTTACTTTTTAATATTTTATCTTAATATTTCCTTTTATCATAAATAATCAAATATAAATTATAATAATTAAATAATTTTCAAAACTATAATTTCAAAATGTACATGCATCCTTATATTTCTGAAAAAAGTATGATCTTTGAACTACGATTCTTTTTGATTTATTTCTTTTGTTCTTTTAGTTGTGTATTTATTGCACACATGTTACAATATTTTTCAAGTATTGATTTCTTATATGTTCCTGTATATATCTGAAACTAATTTCAATTTTTTTAAATTATCATAGTGTAATATTAAATCGAGTCTAAAAAATGTCCATGATGTATGAAAAGCCTGTAACTGAAATTATTAAATAAAACTAACACTGATTTTAATTATTACATAAAATCACGTTCAATTGTGTATATAAATATGTACGAAACAACAGCGTCATGTGAAGATTATATTTTACAGAATGGATCCTTGCAATACCGGACTTAATACCTTTAGTTTTTGGTCTAATTATTGCGTACTGGGGTGACAGGATTCATAGAGTTGCTTGGGTCGGAGCTATAGTCCTTTTACAAAGCATTTCATATTTTATTATGATTATTCCTCATTTAACGCATCAAATCAAAATCATCGATGAACCCGATAATGCTACACATATGTCATTGTACTCAGGTAAGCAAGTGAATTCATTCGGATTACTTGGTCTCCTTACAATAGAAAAAATGATGTATTAAAAAATTTAACATGTGAAAAACAAGCTTCTAAAGAATATAATAATTTTCTAATAATAAGTTTCTTAAATTAAATATTATTGATAATTTCTTATATTTTTAAGAATTAATTAATTATAAATACGAACTGCCATTTACATTAATGATATAAGTACTTCTTGAATGTATTTTTCTTTTTTCAGATGATAATCGTGATTTGTGTTCTCCAACTAAAATGATTGCGAAAGAGGAAGAAATGTGTTATTTCTCAATCGCTGTTTTAGTTGTTATACAAGTTCTCATCGGCATCGCTAATATTTCATACTTTGCACTAGCCATTTCTTATTTAGACGACAATACCAAAAAGAAACACATTGCTGGATTTATTGGTGTCGTTATCGCTGTGAAGATTCTCGGTGTTCTTTTGGGCTTCGTCTTGTCGTGGGTTTGTCTTGGGTGAGCAAAATTATTTATACAAATAATTGCATATAAATAATTAAAATTACGTATAACCTCAATGTTACGGATAATTTTATAGTATTTTAATGGATAATCGCATTACATCCTAAAAGGAAGCATTTTATTCAGTTATAAACATTGCCTTTAGCTTAATTGTTCTCTTGAAACATTAACTACACTCCCAAAGAAAAAGTACACTCTACAATCTTCAAGAATAGAAGAATAAAAGAATTTTCTTATAATAAAACGAAAATCAAAATTTCATTACATTTGCATATCTATTTACATAATAAATGAACTAAATCTGTACTTTATTAATTTCAAGACTCAATAATGTATTTTTACTGAAACAATTCTTACTAAATTTAGTAAATACTTCAAAAGTTGATAACCTTTCATTCGTAAAAGTTTAAATATTATAACTAATATCTCAAAATGAGGTGAAAATATTTTCATAATGAATTTAATCATTTTCATCCATAATAAAATCTATTATACAGAGTACAAAAATATCTTCAAAAATTAGTGTAAGAAATCTTTCTAAAATATTTCTATAATCAAATTTTCATAAAACATTTTGCTGAAAATCTGATTTATCTTAAAATTTTTCTCTTCACATAGGTTAGACGCAGTAAAACTAAGTCCGATTGAAAGCTACAGAGAACAAATTGGTGCATGGTGGCTAGGACTACCAATTCTGACAATTTTACTTATAGTTCCCGGTTTGTTGCTTTCATGGTTCCCTAGAATGCTACCATCTCAGGTAATTTCTAACCATGCATTATTTAAATACGAAAACTTAAATTATATTGCACATAATATGTAATAAATTATAGACAGATTATTTGCTAACACTTTATCTACCACACAGTTATTAATTGATTAATAATAAATATGTAATTAATAATAAAATATAATAAAATTAATAATAAAATATAATAAATTTACAATTGCTTATAATCTTATATTAAGGAGCTACCCAATAACTTTCTTTGAACAATAATTTTCTGATAATAATTAGATTATGTTTCACAATATAATTTCCTGATTCAAAATTGTAATTGCTATTACTATTGAAAGCATGATTAAGAAATCCTTCAGCATTGGTTATTAATCTTCAATATCAAAAACTGTTTAATACCTCGTGATAGATAATGTGTTAGTATACACGCGAAATTTCTTTAACGCTAGAACTGCCAATCAAAATGACTGGTTTCGATGTTTTTGTTTTGTAATAATCTTAAAAGCATTGAATATTCGAAATGATCTTGAAAATAAATAGTTTCACTTAGATACTATAATGAATGTCTGAAGAAACTGAAAATAATCTATTGTTACAATCTTTACAGGAATTACATATTAATCATATTAAATGCTCGGTATTTCTAGTGTTAAGCAGTCAACAAGAGAAATAGAGAAGTTGTTTTCAATCCGCGTTCGCTGCTGAAAATGTATCTAATATGTTAAGAAACACCATATATAATTTCTTCATAATTCTTACTGCTATTTATAATGATAACAGGTCGTTGCACGAGCTGCAGCTTCATTGTTAAACATAAATTCGGGCAGATCCAATCGAGTGCCTCGTCGGTTAATCAGCGAGAAAACAGCCAATCCTAGTTTCTTATCATCCATGGCCAGATTGTTCACTAACAAAATTTTAATCTGCATCGTTCTTGCTTATACGCTTTACATGATGGCCACTTTAAATTTTATGAGTTACGAGAATCTTATTATTCAAGCAAGGTTTTACGTACCAAAGCCAACTGGAACGTTACTTGGTTTCAACGATCCAGTAACTTCGCGATTGATAACGAGTAAGATGAAACATATTCAAAAAAATATATTTCACGTGATGTTACGCATAATGTAATACCAATTGTGTTTTATTGCAGACATTTTGAAGCCCGTTCTAATTGGTTTGATTATAGTAGTTTCGGGACTGGTAATAACAAAAGCAAAGCCCAGTTCCAGAAGTATCTTGGAATACGGAGTAATAGTTACAATTGTATCAGCCGGAATTATATTTACTCTCACTGTAACATCTTGCGAGAAGCGACCTATCGTTGGATCCGACGGCAAAGGGTCGTAAGTACATTCACAATTAACGAAAGACTAATTAACCTTTCGATACCGGTAACTGCATTTATGTTGACTCAAATTTTCGAAAACTTCATTTAACTTCTCATTTGCTTATAATTGACTTAACTTGTCAGCGGATTAAATTAAATTCAATATGAATACCAACGCAACTCGTATAGATACATTTAAAAATACATGGAAGAAAATTGATAAATAAAAACTTGAATGGTCCCAGGTATCGTTGCCTATAGAATTTGATATTTTTTTTTTTAATGTTTATTATATAAAAGATTTTC